AACGCGGTTAGCACCAGTAAAGCTAGCCTAAGAACCTTAGAAGCTGGACTAACTAGCAGCAGCTATGTGAGCTCAGGTTTAGAGGTGACTATCGCGAGGTGAAGGGCGATAGAACTGAGTAATGACGCTAGTGACTCCGAACTTATAGGGTGAAGGCGGAGCCTGTCACCCGACGTTCAACATCACCACGTCACTGGTCTAAAGACGTGATTAGAGGTGGCTTCAGCCAGGCGCGCGAGGGCGCGCGTGTCCCATATTCAACTGTGTGTTGTACTGAGTGAAATGACTGAAAAGGAACCAGAAGTTTATTATATCTCATTTCTTATGTGCCTTTTCATTCCCGAAAATGCTAAACACTGCAGATCTGATAAAAAACAGTACCGAAGTCCTGCCTTTATCTCTGACTGCTCACCTGGCTGCAGCTCCCTCTACAAAAACATGCTTCTTTCCTTTCTTTGAGTAGATTATCCAGTGGATAATTACATGTTTTTAATGATTTATACATTTCACTTGCAGATGATGCAGTTGGAGATGAAGCCGAAGTCGTTTGAATCTGTGGCTGTGATGCTGCTGTTCGGTGTGTGGCAGCTAAATGCTAAGACGTTCCTCTGAAAGGGTGTTTTGCTTAAGAAATGTCCATTTTTGTAAATAAAAATACAGTATTGTAGATCTATTGAAGAAATTGATTCTTATAGAGATGAGTTAAAGTGGTTTTAATTTAAACAAAGAGCTTCGGGGTTTATATTTCTATCCGGTCGTCCCTGTTAGACCTGTTGCACTGACTCCTGGCTCATCAATATTATAGTTTGAACCATATTTAAAAAGGTGACACACACACACACCTGGAAAACCAGTGTGTCCACCAAACTGAAGAACCTCAGCCACAATCTTTTACTTTTCAGTCAAGTTTTTCCTGTGTTCAAGGCTGAGTATTTCCATCTTGTTTGAATAATATTAAGGTATCATTGCAGGCGAGGCAATTCAGATAATAGTGCCATGACACTTTCATGATCACAAGCGCCTTCCATTAAAAAAGCAACACAATATTATATTGAAACAATGTGTAACTTTGTTTCTTATTATCTGTTAAAAAGGAAAAAGAAAAGAGGAAAAAAAAACTTTTGCCTACATAGTATGAGGTCAGTTTCTTGAGCCGGTTGGGGTCTGGCCCACTGTGTGTGTGTGTGTGTGTGTGTGTGTGTGTGTGTGTGTGTGTGTGTGTGTGTGTGTGTGTGTGTGTGTGTGTGT